ATTTGTAAGCAACCTATAATCCTAACTAGATTGAAGAAGGGAAAAAAATAGCTCTGTCAGTTCATTCAAACTCCTGGAACTCCATCACGAGGCCAGTAGTCTTTTCTCCTACACAGTTCCATCTTTCAAATGCACATGTCCTTGGGTGCACATGTCCATTCTCTCATATAAACACTTGTCTTGGATTCAACCTGGTTTGGTACATTGATTCTTTTCAGATACATGTATTTTATTGTCCTTATTCTCTTTTTCACATGACACAGAATTATGCGATATGAATTTGTTAGGGGAGATCAATTGCCAGCAGAACTAGTGAATGCTAAATAGTATATCTATTTCACTCACCAGTGGAAATGTTATTTTTATGATGCTTTAGAAACTCTGAGTTACAAACAACCTTACTACAGTTCCCAGAAAAAAGATATTGCCTCAGAATAATCTTTAACATTATCCTCATTACAGTTCAGTAGAAAATCTACATTAATCAGAAAAACCTCTTAGAATTATTGTTCAGCAATGAATTCATACTTGAGCCACTTTACTGATTCTACTCTAAGTAACCAGAAAGAGATTCAAAGTTGATGCATTACCCAATAAGGTCTAAAAGCCCTTGGCTAGCCCAATGACTAGCAATGACTTCATGGTTATATAGACAATGTTTTCAGTTTAAACTATACTTCCACCATCAACAAATGACAGTGTAATGATGGCTACTCAATAATATCAGGGAAACAGTTCAATCTGTTAGAGTTGGAGCTAGTACTACACATAGTAGTATCTCTACTTTGTATTTCACTTTCTGTTACATAAGCTCTATTTGTTCCCTCTGAGCTTCTTACCTAATATAATGGCCTGACATCACATAGTATCTCTTTCTGGGGTTTTAAGTCATAGCCACATATTAAACAGGTGAATTACGCAAAAGGAGTTTTAGATGGAATAATTTGTCCATGGATATGTTAAGTGAGGCTTCTTTCTGAAAAATGGAATCCATTAAAGCCATTCTTGACTATGGCCTCAGATGATAACCATTTTTATTTCTGTTTATCAATATTGTGACCTGATTGTAGCCAGTTTTCCAACTCCAACCACTTACATGTATTTTCTGTGGCTTGAGGAGCATTCGTGCTGGCTGAGAACTTGGGTCATATTTTTCCAGTCTTTCATTCCCGCAAAAGTACGGTTTATTTTAACATTTGAAAGCAATCTGTAACAGAAGCAGAATGAGGAATCGGCTATGACAGAGTACACTAAACATCTTCAGTAAACTTGGTTCCCATCACAAAGGGTCTACTTATTTAGTGTACACTAAATTGTCCATTATCACTGACATTAGAACAGGAAGGGCATAAGCAGCCCTTTTTGAACCATGACACATCAAGTTTTATCATAAAAAACAAGTCCAGTAAATAAGTTTGGAAAAAGGTTTTTCACACTCGGATTTTATATGATGAAAAAAATCTCCTTGAACTAAGACTTCAGCAGCAAAATCTGGTACATAAATATAAAGCTGTTCTAATTCTTAAATCCCCACCTGAATACAAGACAGAATGGTCAGCTCCAGACTGAAAAAGAACATAACTAGCTATTGTCCTTACTAAGCATTAACCGACACATTTTTTGCTAAAACTGAGCACAGGATGACTACAGCTTCCTTTAGGATATTATTTTTTCTGAGAAGCAATAATTAAAAGTTCTCTCTGCGGGCAGATTTCCCTGCAGGATTCCATTCAGACTGTATCGTCCTACACATTTTTCCCTTTTTGTGGTAGATCCCAAGAAGCTAGTTATTACAGGCTGATTTCCTTACATTTTCAGACTTTTCTTGCTCCTTCTCAGTAAAAGCTATTCATGTTTATTTTTATTATCTATTTACATGGGTGAGTTACTAGTCACATGTACCCACAGGTCTTTTCATTATTACTTACCCTGAGGCTAAAATGTAGAGAGTAGTTCCCTCCTCCCATCTCACAAGCCCATCTACCTACAGGCTGGAGTTTCAAAGTAGCTTCATAAACAGAAGAGGGAAATAACGAGAATGGGTCAGAACTAGGACTGGCTTACTGAGGAAGTTAGGATCACTGTTGAAAGCCGTAGCAGTCTTTGTTTTTCAGTTTGGAACCTGAGTGAAGAAAATGGGCCGGCTACCCTCAGCTATTACTACAGTAACTAAGAAATTAGTATTTGACAAGGGCTGTGTTAGAGAAATATTATGTATTCTACTTAGCTATTTATGTTAGTGTAACGTGTCTTTTTAATTCATTTTAAATTACATTTATTTCATAATTTCTCTCTCCTTTGCTAGGTACATGGTTGGGTCCATAGCCAAGAACACACTCTATAGGATTCACTTGTAATGTAATGTAGACCAGACTTCGTTCCATCTACAATAGTTGCAGATATTGCGTAATGCTGGAGATAAATTCCAAAAACAGGATGCAAAGAAACAGTTTATACATAAGTCAGATAAACAGAAAAAAAACATTACTAGCTATTTCTTTCCACTGAAAACAAATACATGTTACAATGCAGTCTTTTTTTTATATATGACCTAGCGTGACTGAATTACAGGGGAGGCCACACTGTAGCTTTTAGTAAATGACTATAATCAAATCAAGAAAAGACATACCCAATTGTTGAAAGAGAAGAGCCACGCTTGTCCCTGTAACAGGAAGACTATCGTGTAAAGGAGTTTGTATCAGTTGTCTGTCTCCTGCTCCCAAAGAAAACAGTTTCTGTAGATAGAAACATTGTTAATACAGAATGAACTCTTTTATTCAGAGAAAGCATGGAGTATAAAGTGTTATTGCTATTTATATATTTTATATATCAATATGTAGGTAATTAAAGTTTGCTGCATAGGATGGTAGGCAGCAAGTTTAATGAGACAACACTTAGGTCCTAAGCATCTCCAGAAGGAGAGCCACTCAATCAGGCAAGCCACTGATCAGCATTAACCCCTCCACTCAACTTACTATTATCATCAATAACTATAGCATCATTTGGATATAATTCTTCCAGCTTCATTTACTAAAATGAATATTTTTTTTAGTTTATGTTGATAAACTTTACATATTTAAACAAGTCAAATGGCTTGGATAGATAGCTGAATTCTAATACACAAAATAGTAAAAGAAAAAAAAAAAAGGACTATAGAATGACAGCCTGAATATACATTGTGACCACAACCTCCTTTAAAGGGATTTTAATTGAATAGTTTAAATAATTATGAATTGATTCCCTTTAAGGATTTCAACCCAATTGAAAAGGTGTTTACTAGAATATATTCTAAAAAACTGTAAAGAACAGAAAAATGGTTAAAAACACGCTAACAGCAGAATACGATGTTTTGTTACTAGGAAACAGGGAAAAAAACTGAGTTCAGGGTCATTAGGTTGTGAAATTTGTTGAAATTACAGGTTATGAAATTATGAATTTTAAATATTAGCTAAGTTAACTACCATAATACATAACTTAGAGATGTTTTTTTAAATTGTGATTAAAAAAAAGTTTCAGTAGAAGATCCGCTAATCTTTATGGCTCTGTTCTAATTATAATGAATAATGTATATTTTTTCAGTTTTTCTTATATTAATTCATACCATTGATCTTTCCACATGAAAAGATGGTTGGTGTCATAATAAGAAATATTTTACGCCCAACATCCTTTCTATGTTATAATTTAGATCTTCATAACAGTATAATTCCAGATTCAATTAATTCAGCAATGCACATACAGCTGAAAATGTGAAAACTCAAAATATAATATCCTTACATCAGGCTGTTTTCATCAGACTACAGATAAAATACATCTGAAAGAGTGTTCTGTTTTGAATTATTCTTTCAGTTTGCAAACAATTATCAGAACTATACCTGTTTCCCTATCAGCAATATACTTTATTTCAGTTAAAACAGACAATATAATTAATTTTAAATCTAGAAAAATAAACAAACTGGAGTAAGGACATGATTCTGACCTCAACAGCTTAGCAGAGATTTCATTTACTGGTATCCCTCTGGTAACTAAAAATGGACTGCATTAGTTACAGGCCATTTCCAAGAAACATATCATTATGTCTGACACAAGATTCATATTATGTTAACCTACTTTTTTAGTCTGATATTCACAGCTACTATATTAAACCTAATAATTCCAGAGTTAAAATTTTATATATGGCTAACTCCACTTTTCTAGAGATTTTATTAGCACTAAAAATGTTATTAAACTTCGTAGATGTGGAATGTGTTTGCATTTCATAAATGTAAACTCTACAGATAAACTAATTGGTGGGTCAGCTTTTTTTTTTTTTTTTTTTTTTTTTTTTTACCTGTGCTCAAATATTTCTGAAATTTCTTTACCTTGTTCTCAAAATATTAGAGGGCTACCCCTAATGTCCAAAATCTAAAAGTATTAATCGCGTGGAAGATACTTGCCAGAAAACTAACAACATTTGTTTGGCCTCCAATTTGGCATTCTTACTTCAAAGAAATTGATATTTTACCTGTCTGAAGGGGAAACTGCTAATTAGCAGTGTTGAAACAAAGATATAAGTGAAGACGTCAGGAAGGAAAAGCAGACAAGGAAGGAATCTGCCGGGTGTGGACTCTTACCAGTCATTGGGCATTTGTACACGTGACAGGGGTTCAGTGCTCCCTAAACTGACACGGTGGTTTCTTAATTGTGTCAATTAAAAACTCACCATTTCAATTTAGGGACTTCTCTCACTGTTACGGAAGAGTGATGGCCTGCTGGCAGCTCACCAACCCCAGCCGCAGGCAGGCTCCGCCACAAAAAAAAAGTGACAAGGGGCCTGATCCTTTTTTTCCCCTCCAGAGCCTACCCACCTCTCCTGCAGCGGAGGGGCAGGCTGCCAGCAGGCGTGGTCCTTCTATCCTTGCTGCCAGGGCCCCCCTGGGCAGCACCTGCCTGCTAGCACCTCGCCTGAGCAGTCCTGGGGGGCACTGCTGCTGCAGAGGGAAGGACTGGGCCCCCCCACAGCAGCTCATGTGGGCAGGCTCTGCTGACAAAAAAAAAAAAAATAAAAAGAAGTGGCGAGGGGCCCGATCCCTTGTTTCTCCTCCTGGAGCCTGCCTATGTCTACCGCGGCTGGGGGGGTGAGCTGCTGATGGGCCGAGCAGCCCCTTCCCGCTGCCTAGGACCACTCAGAAATTGGCTACCTTTCCTCTGGGGCAATGCGGGAAGGTGAGAGGAGAGCAGCTGGGTGTGCTGGAGGCGAGAGAAGGCAGCAGGATGGTGCACAGGGCTCTGGAAGCCTGCCAAGCCTTCCCTCAGTATTCCTGGGCTTCCAGCACCCAATGCACCGTCCCCAGTGCCTTTTCCAGATGTATTGCTGGAATTTGTTATGTAGCAAACTAAAATACATTGGATGTGTTTTATTTTCTACATAACCGAGTTATTTAAAGCGAAATACACCACCACATGTGTACAGTGTGACAAAATTAAAATGTAATATGCTGCTGTAACTATAAACAGTGACACCATTAAAATGATAAAAAGGGCAGTTAAACCACTTAAAAGGCCAATTTTGTCACATGTACAAGTGCCCACTGTCTATAGTCTTCTGACTGACCCAATGTTAAAAGGATTGTGAACAAATATTGATGAGATCTTGCAAACTTTCCTATTTATAGTAAGTATCTACTATTCTTCCAAACATGTTTTTCCTATGGCAAGAATTAAACAAGTAAATATATAAATATTAGCTCACATAGGTTACTGTAATGTTAGTTATCTGTACAACCTAGCACAGTTTGGGCTCCTCGAGAAATCCTTGGCCTAGTTTCTTGCCCCTATCAGAAACAAAGGATGTTATGTAAGTGCAACTATCTACTACTCTGAGTTAAAGGAAGAGGGAGCATGTCACAGCAACAAAGATGCTTTCATCTGTTAAGCTAGCTGACTGATACTTTTCCTATTTAACAAATAATGCCTACAAAACGGGGTGGGGATCAAAACAAGCCTTAAGTGGAAACATAAAGGGTTTCAAGAAGACTGAAAACTGATAGAAGAAGAAAGAATATACACAGACGACTATATTAAATTCAATTTAACTATTTTGAATTGTAATTTTGGAGACTCGTTTTCAAGGTGACTCATTTACACAAATGAACAAACCCACCTAGCTTTGCACCCTGAAAGATGCACTGAAAATGATGACAAGTCTCACTATTTTCTGAGCCAAATATAAGAACCAGCTCAAGCTGCACAATACTCCTATCTCCTGCATATAACAGTTAAGCTAGCACAGAGAGAAAACAATTCAAAAGGAAGAAAAGATTTCAAAGGTGTATTGCTTTATTTGAAATAGTCTTTCTGTGCTACTACTAAACTTCTTGTAATTTGCCACTAGCTCAAAAAGCATAGTGAATGTAGTAAATATTATTGAATGAGGTTACATTAGATCATATACCATATATACTCGAATATATGATGACCCCCCAAATAATTAGATTTTATATATGGAAAAATTATAAATGTATTATAATTTTCCACATAGCAGATCTAATTATTAGAGATCTACCTTGAATTTCTCCCACTCCAACTGCTACAGGAGGAAAAAAAAATCTGGGGGGACAAGTAACCCCTTGCCTTCTGCCCCCACAACTTCTTTTGTACCTACAAACTATGCATGACATTAGTCCAAAGTCAAAAGGCTCATGATTGACTGTATAGTTCATTGGCTTGGACCCCACCAGAGTCAACAGCGTTTCAACCCATAGTGACCCACCTCAGCACTGCTCAATGTATGAGTGTACTCCAAATACCCCACACAAAGGATCCATATGCTATTAGCCCCCCACTCATGACTAAAACCAGGGGTTCTTGTCATCGGCATTGGGATCCTCCAAAACTTTAGATTTAGATGAGGTGCAGGGCAACCTGTCCAGCTCCATCTCATGGAGGGTAAGGCCACACTAATCATATGCAACAAGCTGAGAGAGAGGCCAACAGAGAAATTCTGGGTTAATTGCTCAGGGCCCCATTTAGTGATGTTTGCCACACATTTAAGGGCCATGAGTTTTACAGTCACGCTCAGTGCTGGCTGCTACTAATCAGCTTCATAGTTAGTTTCCATTACTAAGCATATGCTGCTTTTTGTAGCAGGTTAACGATAAATAATATATTTAATTAGATTTCTTTGTATGTGATAAGGCAAGGGGCTTTTTCCCCCAATGATGATTGGGGGGAAAAACACATCTTGTATTTGAGTAAATATGGTATATAAGTAGTTTGTATGAACTCCAGGATTCTAGGTCTACAAAATACCGAAATAAGTAAGAATGTAAAATTTAATTTCTCCTCACTTAAATATATATATTAACAAATGAGTCCAAACTCCTTAAAATAAATATCCCAAATATCACCAATGAAATTAGAACCATTAAAATGATTATTCATGACTCTTATTAGCTTATACTATTTAGGTAATCTTTTTACAAAAATGAGTGATTTTTGTTTCTGTGTGTCAGCAGTTACTGTACATTCTAGTGGTTAAAATATCAGATACCAGAAGACTATAAACCTGATTTCTGCCTATAATACATTCAATCAATGTTTTTTATAGCACTGGAGCTGCTTGTAGTTCAATACTCGAGAAATGTTTTTTTCTTCTTGTCAAGTTGATATTCAGTAGTTTGTGCACTGAAAGGTCAGAAGCAGCCATATTGGCAGAATATGCTATTTTCCCCTGTATTTAATTTCTAAGTTCACCATATGTTACGATTGACTAATTTTTTACATTGTTATTGCAAACTTCTCTTATGATAGATCATTGCATAGTACATTCCTGCTATATAGACAAGAATTATAATGGATATGGTATTTTTTCAAGGCTTGCAGGAGAGAACCATGTAAGATGGATATATTTATGAGAAACCCTTTGTTTATTCTGTTCTTTTTAATATATGGTTAATCTTGGGTCCCTACATTTCATTTGATAAATGGAAATAAATAAAAATGTGTAAGGTTACTAATTTAACTTAAAAAAAATTAGGAGTCTGGAATAATTATCAACATCACATCAATGATCTTAAAATGCCAATGAAATCCTAAACTACTGCCACTACAGAATAAAAGGAATGAAAGAGTATGGCATATGACTATTGTAGACAAAGAGCCCCATAAAAATATTTTAAAATCAATTCTGAATACATAGGATTTAAAAAAAAAAAACAACTTATACAAATGACTTGATTTGTTACGATGCCTTGTAAAGACAAATCCAGTGACAAAATTAACCCTCTGACCTTATCCAGGAATGGAATTTTTGCTATCTTTAGAAAACAGGCCATAGGGACAAGACTCAGCTGAACTATGATCCTTTTTTCAATAAAAATATTTAAAGAATTTAGTTTTTGTTTTCTTCATAAATTAAATTAACTGGAAAAATACCCTTTTATCCATTTACCTGAGACCCTCCCGCAGCAGGGACAAAGCATGAACAGAGATTTGCAATGAGACTCTCCAACGACACACTCAGGCTGTCCACATACACGGTATAGATCAAGCCAAGACAAGCCTAGAAAGTTAAATGAAAATATATAATCACTATTCAGAGAAGGCAATCACTGATAATTACTAAAAAAATATACACTGGTATTTTTATAATACGCTAGTCCTTAATCTTAATATTCTTAAGTATACATTCCAGTAGAGAAAAAAAAATTGAAGTAGAAGACATGTGTAGACATATAACAAAGTGCCCTTGAATTCCTGTTGGTCTCCACAAACTCTAGCATGTACATTTTTAAAGGGAACACAATATTTATTCTGTTTCCTTGTTTAATTATTTATTCTATGTTCCTTTGCTTAATCAAGCTCTTATTTCAAAATTAAGTTTAAAAAATCCAACATTATAATAATACAATTTCACCAATATTTCCATCCTGTGAACCTGATTCTGCATTGAGTTTTCTGAAGGTAAGCCTCAATGTTTATGCAAAGTATCACCCAAGTCAGTGATAACTCATATTAAAACAGTGGTCCACGTTAGTGTGCCCAGATGAAGAGTTGATGCCTAAAATGTTATATTATTATTTCAATATCATCTGAAGATACTTTCCCTCCCTTGACAATTTATTTTTGTTACTTGAATAAAAAGATCATTTAAAAATAAATAGTGTTAATATTTTAACTGTGTAACATGAGTAGACAAGCAGGACAAGAGACCTGGGTACCAATTCAGAGAGAGTGCCCTAATGGTGCTCCTAGGGAGCCCATGTTGCTATTCTCACAGCAGGCTGTGTTCAGGGAGCTTGTGCAGAGGGGACAGCCACAGCCCACACTACCACCACAACTGAAGTGGTCCCTGTGCCAGAAAGTAAGTGTTTGCTTCCCTATCTCCACCCCAACACAATTTCAAGTTATGCCTCTGAATTTTAGCATTATTTGTTTCACATCATTGCAGTTTCCATTAATGAGTGGTCACAGGTTTATCTGTTTTGCCAAACCTATTTTCACGTTACATAATAACATAGTTGGCTTCTCAAAAGTGTTAGAGAAAAAGAAGCAAAGGTAAATTATACTTCTGAGTAACCATCCCTGATGCTCTTTACCTTAGCTGCTACAATATGAAAATTCTGAAAACTAGATCTACCATATTACTTTACATAAAATATGATCTTTGTTCCCAAAAAATCACGCCCCCCACAATTGGTGTGCATGTATTAAGCAGGAAGCTGATTTCCTGACCTAGATAGAAGTACCCTGCTTTGATTCCTGCTCCATAGTGCAGCACCTGTTGCATTACTATTCAAGCAGCTGAGGGAGTCAATTGACTTAACGGCTCACTGTTCTTTACTTCACAGGTATGAATACCTGCCTCTCCTTTTTAATGGTTTGATGTTCCACTAATCAAGCTAACTTTTCTCCAGGAAATGTTGCTGTCTCTTAGTTGTTCCAGGTCTCACTTTTGCCATTTCACAGCTTTGGAGACTCTAGCTCTTTTCAGAATCAGACATCCACCCACAGAGACCAGTCTTCAGCAGCGTCTAGATGTTCAGCTTTAGTCTAACAGGACAGGGAGGGTGAGTCAACTGAAGATTAGGCTCTTCCCCTACTCTAGGCAGCCATAACTCTGGAAAAATCTTTTCTTCTTCATTTTGCCTTTCAAAAATAAGGCATATATTCTAGTCAAGGGAGTGTGTATGTGAGAAAGTATGGTATATTTTAGGCACTACCTGGTTACAAGTAATTTCAATACTATGACACAAGTTACTATTGAGTGAATTATCCTTGCATTTCTAATGTATATTATTTTTTATTATAATTTATTAAACAACTGAAAGTGGCATGGGCCTGATGGATATTCAAATATTCTATTTATATCACAGCAGCCATATTGTTTCCTAGAAGCAATACGAGATTTTAAATCCCTTTATCTAGCTTAATGCCACCCGGAAAAGCACTAATTTACTCACTTTTTATGGAGGTGAAAAAAACATCTTCAATACTTGTCTCATTCTTCATATATTTTAAACACATGAATTTCACCTAAATAGTTGTGGTTTTGTTGTGATGATTTTTTTTTCACTGTGCATTTCGCTGAACCCAGTAAACCTCTCTCTCGTGGTCTGTGTACATTTAAAACTAGGCCTCCATGAGTACAAGGGCACTATATTAATCTACAGGGGCACTCAGTCTCTTAGACACTGATTTTTATTTAGCTCAGTCTAACTCCGCTTGTGCTGGTAAATTCCCAAACCAATGCTAAGATGTTTTAAATCAAAACTACATGTCACTGCTGCTCATTAAAAACAGGTTTGTCCACTGACACATATTATAAATGACAGCTGGGAGTTCTTTACCCTGAAAATTTCTGGATAATCTAGTCTGGACACCAACACCAGGCTTTTGGGAGCAAATACTTCAGCAGGCTGAATTAAACCAGACTCCTCTTCTTCACCTTCAGTTTCTTTTGTTCCCTTGAAAACAGATACACTGAGATTAATGAACAGAAATACGTATTTCTTCTAAATAAAGTTAGTTTTCTTACAAAAATATAATATTTTTAGAACTTCAAAAGATCAAGGTAACTTGTGAATGGAAAACTTGCATATTACATTGTATCTTTTAATCAATCACACACCCAAACACACACATTTTTAACTGCTCTTGTGTCCCAAAAGTTTTTAAAATATACAAGGTGAACGGATGCACTATTGATGTAATTATGAAAAAGTCTGAAATTACTGACTTAAACTTGTCATGAAGGAAAATAATTTTTATCCTCTAAGAAATATAATACTTTCAAACTATGGAAAAAATAATTAAACATTTATTTCTGTTTAAAAGAAAAAAGACCTCCCCCCCCAAAAAACCCCACTACCTATAGATGGAAGCACCAATGCAGAGATTAAGGTCACTTGCAGGAGCAGGACTTAAGTCTATTCAATACAGACAAATTAGAATGCCAAATTAAGAGTACTTTCTCTACTCTAGTTTTATAAACCTTGTATAGTAGCAGTTTAGAGACACTGAAATGACTTTGTACAGGTGCTTTGTAACTGCACTGTTATGCACACACTGCAAGTGAATGTCAGTAGTCTAAAGTCACTAACCACAAAGTTTTCTTAAACTTAATTTGTAGAAAGCAACAGCATCACACATGGATCTATTAGTATCTGTTGCTGTACATCTACTTTACAGGCCTAGTTTCACTTTGCCAAACAGCCTGAAGAGGTTCAATATACCAATATGTCGCTAGCTGGCCTGAGGAATTCACCATAGCTCCGGTTAACTTTCAGCATAAGTAAAGCTGAAGTCAGAAGTCAACAGGACCATCAGAAATATCCACCTTTGCAACACACCTCTAAAAGAAGAGTAGATGCAGGCATTCAGTGCTCTGCAGAGCTGTGTAAAGAACATAACAAGCACCTGACAACCCTAAATTTCACGACAGGATGGAATGACAGGTCCAACAATGCAACCTTCTATTGAACTTGGTACTTCCCACAACCTGAACATGGTGGTCACTGCCTTTCACGACTATGTATCACCACAACGCACCCCACGCCATTTGGCAACACCAACACCAGAAGCAGTGGCCTGTGCAGAATATTGGGAGCAGACCATATAGAAAGGTTGGACTGGAGACACCACAACTATGAAATATAACACTGCAGTGCAGTGTTTCCTAATCATTGTGCCTTGGCACAAAAGTATGCCATCAGAAATTAACAGGAATTTTGCCATGGCAATGAGCTCCAACAGGTATGAGGATGGGGAATGGCTTAACAGATGTGCCATGGAAAATTATGATTAATGTGTGCCTTGGGCTGGAAAATGTTGGGAAACACTGCTGTAGTGAACAAAAGGGCAAGCTTATTTTCCAGAGAAAGTGGGGCACAGAGCTGTGGATAAGACCACAGTAGATTCTCAGTCCCAGGTATGGATAGTAGAGATCAAAGCCTCAGCTCCGTTAGATGACTTGCATCCTGGATCCATTTTCTGAGGACCTATCATTTAGAGAGAAAGACATGCAGAACCACGGAGTGGGTCCAAAGATTTGCAAATACCATAACCCATTTTTGTTTGTATAGTTTTAAAAGGAATGGGTTGCTGGGTTCTGATTAATAAAATTATTACTGTGGACAATATTGACTGCAATGGGGGTACAATCAACTTCAGTTGAAAGTGGAAGCCACATTTACTTGGTCCTTTTCTCTCCATCCTCAAAACACATAAAAATCCAAGTGGAATGCTGAGTAGAAAAAATATTAAAACTATAACTCTTTCAAAATTACCTTAAAATATAAAAAGGCTACCAGCTTAAAAAGCATGAATGCATCTCTTTACAAATATTACTTTCTTTTGTAATTTGGTTACTTTGATATAATGATATAGATTTAAACTGTTTTAGTATTAAACACTGCCAGAGAATTCAGAGATTACAGATCTCAAAGGCTATAAAAAGTGGTCCTCAGAGCATGTCCAAGTCATTATGCTCATTTGCAGCACTCTCCAGTTTTGAGCAAGGGGTATTAAGGAGTCAGAATCTACTCCATTAAGCATTCAGTTAATGTAAACCAAATTTCCCTCTGTTCCTGACAAGTGACGATTGAAGATAATTTAAAAAACAGCTCTAGCACACTAGGCCCTCTTTTTAGCGATACACTGCTCAGTAACCAGACACTGAAAAAATCTCTTTTAGCATAAACAGATGGGATTCTTCCATTGGCCTGGAAAAGTACTTGCTTTTTCTACCCTGGTACATGTAGCAGAATAATATTCTAACAGTTTTCTCTGCCTGAAACAATGATATACCCAAGCTTGGTAATAGAGTCCTTATCCAGATTCCTATCTCACATAAGGCAGGCAGTAATTTTCTTTAGAATTTTGTAATATTACGTATAATTCTTCTCACTGTGTGTTAGCAAATTTAGTAGACACTTCTGAACAGGAGAGCAGACGAACAGTAAAGCATTCCAAAATATTAGCAGTTATGACCTACAACACAAGACATTTAACAAAATAAGAAATATGCTCTTTTATTCTCTTGGCAGGCCCTTCCACCTCAGCTGAGACAACACTCCCACAAATTACTATGTTGGTCTGTCCTTCAGTTGGGGGAAAAGGAAAGCAGACGGATGAGAAATTTGGGGATATGGCCTACAAAAATTATGTCCATCTGGAATACCAGAAGAAAAGAAAAGCATGTCATATGGCAGGAGAAAGACTGCTAAAAATACTTCTTGTAGGATAGCAGAAGCAGTAGCATCAAGATCATTTGTTGATGATACAGCTGATGAACACAGCTAGAAGCAGAGGCAGCAGTCAGCTCCATAACCAGTGATATATCTATCTCTACTAGTAGGTTAATGGCCTGTGCCCATCATATCCCCTTTTCTCCTGCATCCTGCAGCCCATGCAAGCACTGGTGGGGTAACTGACAATTCATGAACTGAAGCAAATAAACATCCTCTACTCCATTCATAAGCAACCTCTGCAACCTGTGTGTCTGTGTGCAACACAGATAACATACTCTATCCAAGGAAAGAACAGGAGCAGCATTTCATACCTGCTTCGACAACTACAGGGATTGCCCACTGAAGCTTGGAGCACGGGATTCAATTTATTCTTAAATACTGTTTTAGCCTTGCAGATACTTTGCAAGATACAGTACATCAAACGGATGTCATTATTCACATTGGCATTCAATCCATTTTGTAGGCAGTGCTATCTTGCTTCATCCTGCCAAATGCATTTAAACACCAGTCTGCAATTGTAAGAAATGCAACTGAAGCCCCCCGCACCAAGGGCCCTGAAATTCAGACATGGTGAGTAGTATCCCCCAGAGTAAAAGTGTGCACAAACACCCAGTTCATACTTATGTCATTAGGAGGCAAAAAATATTCCTGATTTTGCTAACAGGTGGGTGCCAAATCTCCTCAGCATCCTGGCATCATGGAGCTTGCCAGGGTATCCCACACTGGCATTTATGAACCTGCTTCTGCATGTCAATTGTTGTATCCCATCCAACTGACATAATCAGTTGCTCCTACTGGTGAGCACATAATGGGCACATGGGCCATCAGTGGTGTCAGAGAGACTGGGAACTTCATTCTTTGAAAGCCAGCTATTATTTCAGACAAAACTTTTACTTTCATCACATCTAGATCAATCAGTCAACTACCTTGTAGAACCCTACATCTCAACAGCAGACTTGCCAATACCACTGGATGTCTGGGGTAGCCAAATTCCAGAGGACAAATACAACTTTATTCTGTACAGGTAGATCCTCTCTGTATTGAATGATCTGGTGCTGGTGGATGAAGGCAACCTCCACAGAGACCTCTATGAAGTTTTATTTCCTTATGATTAGCCACAGTTAATCATCCCAGGTCTAGGAAGTGATGATAACTATGAGTATCCCACCAAAAAGGCCTAGGTCTCCTGCAAAAGATATGTAAGTCTATACATGAAGAATCTACACTAATAATGGTATTTCGCATAGGTGCCTGCTCTGCCATAAATAAGTTTCTACCAGAGTCTTCCTCATTCTGTCCTTCATAAATAGCTTCTAAAATTCATTTGCAGTCTTGTACATCTGTCCTGCTGCAAAAACAATTTACCCACAAACAAGAGAAATAATTCACTGGATCCATGGCTTTCCCTCGACTGGGAACATACAAAATAAGGAAAGTTTAAAGTCAGAAGTGCATTAGCTAAATGTACTTATTACATTACACAGAATTAGCTGGCTAAAGATATTTCCACATAGGAGTCTCTGAAGAATTCCCACTGTACCACACTGCGGGGGGGTGAGACTCTGCCACGAGCTCTCAGAGGCCCCAATCCCCTCTGCCAGAGCCAGTAAGTGCAGGGCTTTTTTCTTTTCTTTTCTTTTCTTTTTTTTTTTTTAAAGTGCCAGGAGGCTGAGGACGGGCGGGGCATCCATTGGGGTTGGAGATTGGGGAGCGGGGGCTGCGAGGTGGAGGCTCTGCCACATGGCCCCGGAGCCACAGCCACCTGGCTGTGCCTGCCTCTCCCCAGCCGATCTGAATCATCGAGTCAATGCTGAATCTTCCAAAGCTGATTCAGTCAAATTGATTCGGAACAGTGATCCGAATCTCCAAATCGAATCACTGTCTTCCGAATCTGAATCGAATACTTCCCTGTTTGCACAGACCTACCAGGCAGTTGGTTTTAAACTTCGGGTGGAGCAGAAATCAGAGGGTGGTGGGTGCAACTGCACTACTCTCCCCCCCCCTTCAGGTATCCACCTAGAAATCCGACCACAAAACATATATAGCAGAAGAATATGCACAGTATGAGGGTCTGTAACATAGAACTATGAACACTGAAGTGAGCTGGGCTAGTTGACTCCTGCATGCATGCAGGCCAAGGTGAATACTGAACATACCTGTAGGAAGCCCAGTAGATGGCACTGGGTCACTCATCCGCTTAGTAAGGCTTACCAAAA